GCAAATGATTCAGCAAGCAAGAAGGGTACTTCCCCTCTCTGCTAAAGTCACGAGGTGAGTCCTGCAACAGAACGTGGGGAATCCTTCATAGTATTCCACTGTAGTTAAGGGTACCTCATGACTTCTGTCTGACTTCTTCCTGGGAAATCTAGAGAAAAAATATTCAGCTAGATAGCCTCTAATGGCAGAGTACAGGCAGGTGCTGCTGTCTGAGGGTTGTTCTGCACTGATAGGATTTTTCTAGGCAAACGAGTTTTCCCCAGGCCTAATGAAGGCAACACCCTTGTCAGCCAGTAGCGCAACCGTGCTAGGTCCTTCCAACACCACACAGGAGGGTAACAGGGTTTCAGCAAACACTAGCTGGAGGTAAATATTCCCAGCACTAGTCAACAAGCAAGAATAAAGATACACTCATCCAGGTCAAGGGAACTACATATGAGGTATCCCTTTATTGTGGGTACCAAAGGGCCCCAGAAATTGTCCCATACAAGGAAATCAGTTTTAAAATCTGCCAGTCCCATAGGACACTAAGTTATCTACGATAGCTCATTTTAAATAAGAAAGTTCCTGATTTTCTTACCTCTCCTGAATAAATTATATCTGAGTCCTGCTTGTTCAACTTTAAGTTTTATGACCATTTTATATCAATTTCATTGCATTAAATCATATTAACTGCTAATCAAATACAGAATCTCACACTGTGGTTGTATATTCAAACCAAATGATTGTTGCAAGTATCTAACAATCTCTATTTAAGTAACTAGAGACCAAAATGTCATCTTCAGTTACTTATAGAATTGGTAAGCTGCATATGGATGTTTGAAAGATTTATACACAATGGTGGGTAACTGTTTCCTACCTATATAAACCACTCAGTAATTACATTTGAAAGTTTTATTTAAAAAGTATTACCTTGTAATGAAAAATTAGACAGGTGCTCTCCAAATCTGGCTTTCATTGTTGGCTGTTTCCATTTCCTCCCTGAATACTCTTCAGGTTGAGCGTCAATAGTGAATGGTTCCATTTCTTCCCTACCAGAAATGAGTAAAGAGAAACAGGTAAAAATACAATGCTTTAGGGGGTCACTGGAGATCACATAGAAGGAAGTTCTAATCCAATGTTTCCTGTCAGATCAGGGACTTTGGGTTCAATCTCAAATTCACTTGGGTCCTTCAAAGAACTTCAGTAACCCTGGTGCATTTCAAGACTTGCTCACACTAAAATTGATTCCTCTTAGTTTTTAGGTTCATACAACTTTCACAATTCTTCACTGTCTGATTCTAGCACAGACCATCAGTATTTCTGAATTTACAGTTCTAGGCACCTAGAAGGTATCACCTCACATACATTTTGGACACCTTTACTCACTAAATCCTTCTCTCCATTCGAGAAATAGCATTATTGAAAAAAAATTCTATCAGTAGCTAGTGTGAAAGTTTAAAGAGATTTCTGTGCTATCCATTTAGTGTTCAGTTGCCAGTCAAAAAATTAATCATAGAATTTCCAGACTAGCCATTTATCATTATCTTATCATCCATCAAAGCAGCTGTTTCTCTTCTAAACTTTATTTTTAAATAACTTGCAACAACTATCACCTCTTTCCTTTCTTATTTGTGCTTTTAAAAATGATGGCAGTTTGGAATGGTCCATTTCCCTTCTTCCATGCTACCAATCTGTTTCTCCTTATTACTCACTCTATCATCGGTTTGAGGACCTCCTTCTCTGGTATACTAATCTGTCCACATAGGAAATCCATGTCTTTGTTTGACATGCTTTCTGTTCTAATGGGTATTGCTTCAACAAACCATTATCCCATAAAAAGTTATAATGGTAACTATTTCACAAATTAACAGAGGAGATGATGAGAATCATAAAGGTTATGAGCCTACCCATGTCCCAAAGCTAAGAAATGTCAATCTCAGACTTTGAGCCAGGTATTTCTTAGTCCAAATACTCACTATTTCTAGTCTTCTATATTGCTTCTATAAATTCATTTTCTGATGTTTTTGTTTATATTCTTATATTAATAGAACAAGCTGTAAAATAAATACCTGGCACATAAAAATTTTAAGTATGAACATAGCCAACTTCACACACTAGGTTTAAAAAGGTATTAATCATTGTGTCTGAGAGTCCCTTTGATCAGAGTTAATGGAACGGGCCTAGTCCGCTCCCTACTGATTTTAGTTTCCTGCTTCATTCTTAAAGAAACAAAGTTCATCTTGTCAAACCTTGGTCACAGTCGGACATGACAAAAAAGCTTTCATTCTGAGACTTCCGATGGTGAAAACTAAATGGAGTCAGCAGTTTGCCCTTCGAAACTAAAACTGAGAAATATCTGTGATGAGAAAATAAAGCACAACTTTCCTACACAGTTTGCAAACTACATCAAAGAACTTTTGATGTGATATGGCCCCAAATTATCTACTTCTGCCAACCTGAAAGACAGTAGTAGCATGGGAGAGGTAGGCCAGATTTGGAGCAAGTTTATGTGCTGTCTGCCTGCCGAATACCTGCCCATCCTTCTTTGTGACAGTCCTTTGCTTTGGCTGGAACCGAAATAACCAATTTTAAGGAAACAATACTAGGCATCCTCTATCTTAGTTTTAGCTCCTTTCTGGTTAAGTTACAGCGCTGATTAAATTAGATACTGTCATTTCCATGTTAGACACAGAGCCAGGTTAAGGGATCCAAGCAATCAAAATAAACTGACAAGTACAGAGTAATAAAACTTTTATCTTGAACTTAAATAGTCTTATAATTGTAATAGAAAACACATTTTCCCTGCCTTACCAAAGAAATGCTAAAAAGCATTTGAAAAATATTATTTTCAAGGAGCAGAGGATGAATCATCCACCTAAGGAACCCACACCTCTGGGCCCAGTGATGGCAGGAACGCCCCCTCCTCCTCCTGTTCCCAGGCTTGCCTTCTCACGACTGACAGGAGGCTCCCTCTGATTGACAAAGGCTTGCAGTCATCTCTGCCTCATCCTCTCCTGTGTCCCTCACAGCCATCCATAACTAAACCGTATCTATTCTGCTTCAGAGCCCCTCTGTCCATACACCTATGCCTGCTCCTGGGGCCTGATGTGTCCACTTTGATTCCGGTTTGGATTTATACAGCTTTCCGACTCTCCAGTTTTTCCCTCTTGCAAGTCTGTTTGTCATGTTGCAGTCAGATTAATCTTCCCAAAATGTAAATCTCATCATATTACTCTTTTGCATAAAACATTTTAATAGCTTGCCATTGCCCTCAGGGTGAAGTGCCAGCAGCATATCACAGTTTACAAGTCCCTTGTAAATCATTCCCTAATTACCTCTTCAGCCTTTTTTCTCTCCTGTTTTGGTTCCGACCCTTCTGGAATACTGTAATTCCCTGATCAGAGTGTTTCCATGCCTCTGCACAGTGTTCTCTTTGCTTAGAACTCACTATCCCTCTCTCCACCAAAGGTGGGAGCTGTAAATGTAAATATACTGTTGCACAGCTACCATATATTTTACCTGAAGCAGTTCAATAACTCTAAATTGATTGTGACAAACTAAAGATGTATTCTGTAATCCCTAGAGCAATGAATAGAATGTAAATAGAAAGTAAGAATAGGATGCAATACTAAAATCAATTGATTAAAACAGAATAAGACAAGGAGAAAAGAACAAAATATGTAAGCAACAGACAACAGGTAGCAAAACGACATTCCTCAATGCAACCATATTAGCAATTATATTTGGGTTAAATGAACAAAACACTCAAACAAAAGGCAGAGATTGCTGAGATCATCAGATTGATTCAAAAGCGAGAACTAGCCACGTACTGTTTATAAGAGGAGCTCTTTAATTACAAAGATACAGTATGTTGAAAGTAAAAGAATGGAAAAATATATCATGAAAACATTAAACTTAAGAAAGCTAGAATTTCTATATTAATCATTCAAAATGACGAAGTTTTTCTAGAGAAAGATGGACTCTTTCTAATGATAAATGTTCAATACATCAGAAATTAAACATGCACTTAAGTATCAGGGCTTCAAAATACATGAAACAAAAAATTCTATAGCACTTAGGGACTTACAGACAAGTCCACACTCATAGGTGGAGATTTTAACACACACGTCTAGTTGATAGACTGTCTTGGAAAAAATAAATAAGGATTTGGCAAATCTGACCACAAAGACATTAATCTTAATGAGTTTGTAGACCACTATACCCCCAAACAGCAAATTCACATCTATTTCAAGTACACATGGAACGGTCACCAAGATCAGTCATACGTGGGTCCACAGAACAGTCTCAGTAGATTTCAAAAGACTGAAATTTTGCAGAGTATGTTTTCTGACCACAACAGAATTAAAATAGAACAGAATTAAAGAACAATAAAACCCCAGAAAAGACCTGAAGACTTAGAAATAAACTAACTCAATCCTAAACAATCCACAAGTCAAAAAAGGAAGCACAAAGTAGAAAACTGTTTAGACTGAATAGAACATTTTTAAATACATATTAATATTTGTGAAATGCAGTTAAGCTTATATTAGAGAAGAAAGGCCCGAAAATCAACAATCTAAGGTTCCCCCTTAGGAAGTTAAAAAAATAAAAAGAGCAAACTGACCCCAGAAGAACCTGTACCAGATACCCATGTATATTAGAGTTCAGAGTAGAGCCTTTCGTGAACTGCATGCTGTTTTGCCTCAGTCTGCGCCAGACACTGTATTCATCTCTTTACAGTTGTCAGATACCGAAATTGTCATAGCTCTAGGAAGCTATTACTACCATCATCCCTACTGTCCCTCTTTTACAGCCAAAGAAACTGAAACACAGAGAGACAAAATCATTCTTCCCAGATGAGGTAGCTGATAATGGCAGCTCTCAAGGTGTAAACCCGATCTCAGTGCTTCCCAGTCCTGGGTCCTCTCCATTTTACTTGCTGCCTAATGTGTATGTCTCTCTAGCCAGATCCTAACTCAGCTTGTCTTCCTTGCTCCCTTCCGTCCCCTGTCCCCCAGGCCCGTGACCAAGGTCAGCCTCAGAGGCGGAGTCATGCTTCACCCGGCCGGATCCTGTTGGCAGCCGCTCCTGGGTCTGACTGTGGTGTTAGTGTTCATGGCGCCCACCGCTGGCTGCCCAGCTCGCTGCGAGTGCTCTGCCCAGAACAAGTCCGTCAGCTGCCACCGACGGCGTCTGATCGCCATCCCAGAGGGCGTTCCCATCGAGACCAAGATTTTGGACCTCAGCAAGAACAGGTTAAAGAGTGTCAACCCTGAAGAATTCATATCATATCCTCTGCTGGAAGAGATAGATTTGAGTGACAACATCATTGCCAATGTGGAGCCAGGAGCCTTTAACAATCTCTTTAACCTTCGTTCCCTCCGCCTAAAAGGCAATCGTCTGAAGTTGGTCCCTTTGGGGGTGTTCACAGGGCTCTCCAACCTCACCAAGCTTGACATTAGTGAGAATAAGATTGTCATTTTACTGGACTACATGTTCCAGGACCTGCATAACCTGAAGTCTCTAGAAGTGGGGGATAATGATCTGGTTTATATATCACACAGGGCCTTCAGTGGGCTGCTTAGCTTGGAGCAGCTCACCCTGGAGAAGTGCAACCTGACAGCAGTGCCAACAGAAGCCCTCTCCCACCTCCGCAGCCTCATCAGCCTGCACCTGAAGCATCTCAACATCAACCACCTGCCCGTGTATGCCTTTAAAAGACTATTCCACCTGAAACACCTAGAGATCGACTATTGGCCTTTACTGGATATGATGCCTGCCAACAGCCTCTACGGTCTCAACCTCACATCCCTCTCCATCACCAATACCAACCTGTCCACGGTCCCCTTCCTTGCCCTTAAACACCTGGTGTATCTGACCCACCTTAATCTCTCTTACAATCCCATCAGCACTATTGAAGCAGGCATGTTCTCTGACCTGATCCGCCTTCAAGAGCTTCATATAGTGGGGGCCCAGCTCCGCACCATTGAGCCTCACTCTTTCCAAGGGCTCCGCTTCCTTCGAGTGCTCAATGTGTCTCAGAACCTACTGGAAACTTTGGAAGAGAATGTCTTCTCCTCCCCTCGGGCTCTGGAGGTCCTGAGCATCAATAACAACCCCCTGGCCTGTGACTGCCGGCTCCTCTGGATCCTGCAGCGACATCCCACCCTGCATTTTGGCGGCCAGCAGCCCATGTGTGCTGGCCCAGACACCATTCGTGAGAGGTCATTCAAGGACTTCCACAGCACTGCCCTTTCTTTTTACTTTACCTGCAAAAAACCCAAAATCCGAGAAAAGAAGTTACAGCATCTACTGGTGGATGAAGGGCAGACAGTCCAGCTGGAATGCAGTGCTGATGGAGACCCTCAGCCTGTGATCTCCTGGGTGACACCTCGAAGGCGTTTCATCACCACCAAGTCCAATGGAAGAGCCACCGTGTTGGGTGATGGAACCTTGGAAATCCGCTTTGTCCAGGATCAGGACAGTGGGATGTATGTTTGCATCGCTAGCAACGCTGCTGGGAACGACACCTTCACAGCCTCGTTGACTGTGAAAGGATTCACTTCAGACCGCTTCCTTTATGCCAACAGGACCCCTATGTACATGACCGATTCCAATGACACCATTTCCAATGGCACTAATGCCAATACTTTCTCCCTGGACCTTAAAACCATACTGGTGTCTACAGCCATGGGCTGCTTCACATTCCTGGGAGTGGTTTTATTTTGTTTTCTCCTCCTTTTTGTGTGGAGCCGAGGGAAAGGCAAGCACAAAAACAGCATTGACCTTGAGTATGTGCCCCGAAAAAACAATGGTGCTGTTGTGGAAGGGGAGGTGGCTGGACCCAGAAGGTTCAACATGAAAATGATCTAAAGGTCTGCCACTCACACTAGTGTTCCTGTGTCATTGTTGGTAACCAGTGTGATGGCCTGGCCCAGGAAAGCACTAGGTGAAGAGGCAGCTTAGGGCAGCTGCCCTGTGTCAAAGCAGGGTCCACGGAAGCAGGAGGACTTCTTGCAGAGCCGCTCCACACCACCTAGAGGCAGGCAGGCCTGTGTCAGAGCCCTCACAGTGGGATACTAATCGTTTGCATTGCAAATATTGGCATTCTGGGGATCTCAGTAATGAACCTGAACCTTTGGCTTGTGCTCATGGACAAGTTATTCAACATTTTCTACCACTGCAAAAACAAAAGAAATAAAAAGGAACACCTACAATGTAGGATTTCCATATTAAAAAGACACATTTGTCTAAAACATACTCTACAGAAAAATTTGTATCTATGATTATCATTTGTTAAAGCCTTGCATCATACCATATTGTTGGTTCTACACCACAAAGAAATCAATATATTCTTTACTCTTTTTTTTGAAACATATATGCTGTATATGTTTTAAAGCAATATGAATGAAAGGTTGTGCTTTTAGTTACTCACCACTAAGACCCAAGTGTGGTTCATCTTCCTTCACATACAGATGATCCCTGGAGGTAGGAGCGCAGATATGGTGAAAAGATGCGTTTGTCTGATGTAGGATGCCCGAAACAGGACCCGAGGCAAAACTGCTCAACTCTGTTAATTCTGTGACTATAAATAAAGGCATGTGCCTAGTTTTGATACAGAATGGAATATTTTTTATACTTGTGATATCACACTGGACCAGTGTACTGTAACAAAGCCTTTGGTTTCTCCAGAAGGTGGTGTGCCCCTAGCTGACCCTGTAAAATGGAAGGTAGGTGTTAGTGATGAAAATGGTCTGTTTAACCACAACTTTATTTTACTTTCATCAGTTGTTACTAATGGGTTAATTGTTATGTATACTCATAGGGTAAGATTCACCTTGTAGCTGAGTTCAAACATTCAGAAGTTCAAAAGCTCTCTGAATAAGGAGTTGTTAGATGCCAGCACTTACCAGGGTAACCCATGCATAACATGAGGTTAATGCAACCAAGGGTCTGTTCAAAAGCTGTCTGAAGGCTGCACGGCTGCTAGTCTAAGGAAGCATCTAGCTACTGCCACTCCAGTGTTGTCTATTCAGTCTGTACACACAGTATTACCTTGAATGAGCAACTTCAGCATTTCTCCCTGCTTCCTGACCAAGTAGATTTTGATTTTTATTTTGCAAATTACCTTGTATAGACAAGAGGACTGTGTCTTGTTTTTACAGAGCTAAGAAGAAACAAGGCAGATCAAAAATTACTGGGTTTTTTCCCTTTACTGAGGACAAACTAGTATGTTAAATCATCTGACAATTTTGCTCCTCTCATCCACAGAAATTTGCCCAATTCATTTTGTATTAATGATCGTTATTCAAAGTTAAAAATACTACAGTTTTTTTTTTAATGGCCTCATGCCTTTACCACCAGTGATCTGGTTCAAATGAGACAATTTCATTGACTAAATATTGAATGAATGGCTTTCAAGGCATATATTTGTATAATCTGAGAAAGCACTGAATATAGAGTTTTCATGAAATGTGATATACTTAATCAGCATAGGAAGAGTAGGAAATTTCTATACTTTACACATTTTGAGAGGCACCTGAAAATGACCCCATTTGGACAGGTGTAAGCTGGAGCATGAGGTGTCTGAGGTTTGTTTCTGACATGTCACATTGGGAGTTTTTGACCTTCAAAAACCTGACTCTTTTTTTAGTATTTGAAATTTTGAGGAACTTCAATGAAATTAAATTGACCCCAATAAAGAAGTTACAGTTCCAGAAATTGTTTTGCCAATTGGATAAGTAGCATGGTTAAATGCATTTCTTCCTTTATAAAGGTGGAAAATGAGATAAATAGGCAATTCTTCAATCTTTCTAAGTCATTTTTCATTTGATTTCCCTGATGATTATCACAGATCTTTTAGAAATTCGTTTCTCACTTATGGCAATTACTTTATATCTAGCAATGCAAATCAAGATTTTTTGTAAATTCTATCAATTCCACCTTATGTGCAAATGGAATGAGGTCTTTCAAATTTAAAAAAGAACTTAAATTGGAGAGTCTTCCAAAGTTAATTGAAAATATTTAATCTTAATTTTGCAACATTCTATGGAGCAAGTACTTATGACTGTCCAATAAATAAATTAAATAAGGAAACATTAAGCAATTAATAAAAGAGCTTTGTGATTCTAACTACTATTTTCTGTCAAAGTAAAATTTCATCAAAAAGAACCTTAGTCAAATGAAACTAATCTATCCATGAAAAGATGTAGTTATTATTTTTGGAAGAAGAGTGACTGTCCTCTCCTAGAGGTTTCCATACTCTGGTCCATGGAACAATAGTTATTTGAGATATTAAGAAGCATTCTTCCAAGAAAGAACCCCATAGACTACTAAAATGGGAAAATGCTGCATTTTGTAACCACCTCTTGGAAGTTTAAAATATACAAAAGGCTAATAAATCCTCTGAAAAGTCCTGTAAGTAAGAATCCTGTTTAATATTTTTTATGGTAGGGTTTCTCTAATTTATTTGGACATGAAGTGCTTCTTTTTATTGTACACTGTCAATATCTTAAAAAAACAAGTTCCACAGAACACAGTTTGGTCAACTGAACTAAAGTAGTACTCTTCTGAAGTATTCCTCAGCTCAGTGTTTCTAATAAGAGTGAAATTACTATTTGAAATAGGCTCCAATCGATTATAAAAAAATATACTACGTGCATAAGTGATCTGATCATAAAAATATATTGACCAGATATTTCTAGAAGAATCTGCTACTCTCTGCCTGAAGTATCATAGTAATGGATTTATAGGTAATTGAATGGCCACTTAATTATCTACATTCTCACTGTTGGTGCAGATCTTGGGTTCCATTGATTCTGGGCTCTAGCATGGAGTTTCACAAAGGTATTTTACCTATGGCTTCCAATTTCCTCTTTATTACATCAAACTGGACCATGATAGAGAATAACAGCTCAAACCGTCAAATAGAATAGTTTTTCCCCTTAATAAGTTATTTCTGAGTCATTTTCTTCCCAGAGGATTTATCTCAAAGTATCCTAAGAAAGAAACAATTGTTTGGCTTAGCATTTAGATCCGGGTTGACCAGTTTTCTGTATCTGTATAGTAAGTATTTTCAGAGAAGGATTTATTCTCTGTAGGCATTAAATTTCTGGAAGGAAAAATTCCCTAGTGGTCTGAGAGCCCTGATCCATCTCCCCAGATGTCTGAATACATGTTATTAGAATATGCTAACTACCAAGCCATTTTGCCTAATGTGTTCCTGGCCAGGGATTTCTACTTTCCCAAATTCTCACATTACTCACTTTTTAAAAATCTCTTTTCATTTTCATTGCATTTATAATTATGAGCTTTCCAAATATTCTCAAAGTTTGAAAATGTAAACTGCAGAAATTACCAAAACTTGAACTTCCTAGTTCCTAAGGATATTTCTCAGATCTCTGGTTTTGCTTAAGTTTCTCAGAAATTTTGCTTATCAACAACTCCCCAGTAGTAACAGGGCTCTTAGGATTTGTTCTACAGTGTTTTAGGTGGATTATTTTTCCCATTGTTCTATCAAGTATTCTGCTCTCCCCAGCTCTCAGAAAAGCCCAGAAGTTACAATCTTCTATAACTTTTTTAAAAAGGATTATTTAAATCTCACCTGCATTGAAGCCTGAATTTTGTCATTTTCCATGATTCAAGTAGGAATATATTTACATATTAGAAAGTGAAAAAGAGAGGATGTGATTTTGGAGAATAAAAATTGAGTAGAACTCCATCTAAATTAACTTACCCTTCCAGGGTCTGCCTTCATCTCTACATCAAGACATTTGTTTGAACTTCAGAGACTGTGCTCAGAAGCTGTTAAACAACACAGAATATGTCTTGAGGCTTTCTAGGAAAGAAAAAATAGATCATTCTCAGTTTAGAAGACTAAGACCTGACAAAAAGACATATCAAGAGTTTAAAGAAAGGTTTGGGGGGAGATACTTAGATCCATTTTAATTCTATTACCTTTATTCCTAATTTTTATAGTTGTCTCCTAACTGAAAAAGAAAAAAATTATTCTTTAATTTTCATCAAAAATATTATTGTCTATTTTATCTCTGTTCCCTGTAAACTGGTGACCTTTATATAATTCACATGAGCTACTCCAATTGGATTCTGTGGCAAAACTTTTGGGGCCAGACCATTCATTCTACTCAGTAGTTAGGTAAAGATTTATCATCTTTATTCCTGGGATCAGGTCCTAGGAACCCTCCTCATTATACTGATACATCATGTGCCTGGTTATGGAAGTTCCACCACTGGCTTTGGAAGTTCCATCCTTTCTATTAAAAGCCTTGGTTATTTTCTGATTGAGGAGTTCTAGAGTTACTCTGCCTCGGTGTGTGAAAAGCCTTGAGGAATGAAATATTACCTGACTTGTTGATTTTAGAATTGCATGCTTTGCTTAGGCAACAGAGGGTGCTTCCTTTCTCTCCTTCAAAAGCCATTCCCAAGAGAGCCTTCTCATTCTCATTCCAGCAACAGCACAACCACAGCTTCCTGACCTAAGTCTGTAATAGCAAACTGACAGCTGATTTGCCTCGCTATTTAGCTGTGAGCTAACAAAATTTTACTTAGGGCCCGTAAGTAAATTTGTAAGATGCGGCCAACTAAATTTAAACTATGTTTTATATGAATTAATGGTAGGTTTTCAAATCTGAAGTTGGTTTGTCTGTGTTGGGAGCAGTAAATGTAGCTGCATATTTTCTCAAAAAATGTTAGAGAATGGAAACTGCTTATCTGGTGCGAGCTTTCCAGCATGTTGTCTAGAATAAAATGTTTGCAGGAAAAAAAATATGATTAAGAAATTTGTAAAAGGTTTATTTTTCTAAAATAGGCTTGGAGCTGATGTTCCTCTTTCAAAACAGGAGAATGTGATCAAAACAAGCTTGCATGTGCCCCAGACTGCCCTTCTCCAGTTTGCCAAGATCTCTAGCGCGGCCTCTCCCTCCCCTGGCCCCCATCTGGGGCAGAACATCCTGGATGGAAAGGAAGAAAAGAGCAGGGACTCTAGCTCCCCCGAGACAACCCACAGAGAGGGGAAAGCTTTGCCATTCCCCCACCTTCCTGCTCCTTTCCCGACACCACACTGACAGGCTCTCTCACCACTGCCACCTCCCAGCTGCTGTCACACCTCATCAATGAATATTCTCTCCAGGGATGTCTTCTTTCATTGGTACTCAGAAATTCTTGGGTAATTGTTAAACTGGAAATTGCTTTAAAAAAAAAACCCTCCAGCCTATCTCGCATAACACTTTAGAAGTTAAGACTTACCATTCACATAATCACAAGCTGACAGCAATCTGCAGGTTGAGTGATTCTGATTTTTTTTTCTCTCTCTCTCCTCTAGAAGCAGGTGGGTTGATATAATGCCAGCCTTAAATAGAAGCTTTATTTATAGCCTTAGCAGAATGAGAGAAGAGCTGGCATAATCAAGAGAGTCCTGCATATTTTAAGAAGGCTTTACCTTTAATATGCAAAATAGCCATTAGAACACAAAAAAATGCAAATGTACATCCTACTAAATTGGTTAACTATACTAATCCCAATAACGCTCTAAAGATAACATTCCATACTGAAAATGGGTCGGAATCAAAGATTCTGTGCCTATTTAATAAGAACCAAGAAGAAAAGCTGAAGTTTAGTCGCCATGTTAACATTCTTCATTTTGTTGCACACCTCTTATTCAAAATTGTTTTAATATGTTTACTGTCCATTAGAATATAATTAATACAATCTGCAACAATGCAGAATCAACAAATAATGATTAGCAGAAGATTCAGGCTTGCAAAGAAAATTCTCCCCATCTTTAAACAATGTGTGTCCAGAAACAGTGATTCATATACATTTATAACTGGAGAGTGAGAGACAGGAATTGAGACATATACTTTGTTTAAAGGCTATTTGGATGTTCTCTTCCCCCAGTTATGAAATCGGGTGTACCATACACAAGTAGATTGCTTGAAATGCAAGTCAGTTGTCTTACTTTTTTTTTACCATATACTATGGAATGCCCCAAATCATAATTTTAAAAGCTATTGTTTATATATACATATATAAATGTGTAGGGGAGGGTGGCTTGATTATTTTTTTGTAAGTGTTTAAATGTAACTGTTTTAAAGTTGATGAGCTTGAGCAGGAGAAAGGAAAAAAAAAAGAAACAATGTGTGTCTGTGTTTTTCTTTAAGGTCTTTTATCCAAATCTTATTGTGGGAACATCCCATGATTGGAAGCTGCTAACCAATGACCTACAAATTTTTTTTTAGTGCCTGATAGCTTGTTTTCGTTCTTAAAAAATTAGTGCTAATGACAAAAGTCATCTTAATTTAAGTTTGAGTCTCACTGACTGTTACGGATTTATTGTTGTGGGCATGTTTTGTTTTTTTTAACATGTAAAAACAAGTTAACTTATTTTAACATGTAAAATAAGTTAAAATGTTTTCTTTACTGATGTAAAGGGCTTAAGCATCTGACATCTCAGTCAAATCCATTGGGGTATTATCAAGAAATGAAATGTAATAAAAGACAATTGGAGTCATCAGAAAATATTTCCTTATTGAGAGAGGTAGGTTATATGAGCCTTACAGGGTGCATGAAGTTACTTAAATATCTTTAGCACTGTTATTAGCTCAAATAATCTACAAAGCATCTCCAGCCAGAGAGGCAGCGCGTCCTGAGTGACGTGGGGAGAGCCCTGAGGCCAGGCTACCAGTCTTCTATGCGAAATCACCTCAGCGCCAGGGCTCGACCTGCTGGATATCCACATCGAGGTTATTTCAACCACACTATAAAAATATTCCACTTTAGTGAAGATATATTTTGTATCACTTGCAAAATTATCCCAAATTCATTTGTTTTGCTAACATGGGCCAGCGATGGGCATGACTTTAGGCATGGAATATATCTGAGCAAGAACTGAAGGGTTCAGCATGCCATTCATATAACATAGTCACGTGGTTTTTGTGCACTTCCACTCAGCCAACTACCAGTGATTCAAGGCATTTCGTGTAAGGTCAGAGGGCACAAAAAATTAAAAAGAGAAAACCATTTTTTCTCGTCTTTAGGCAAATTGCTAACAAGGGGAAAAGAAGGTTGTCTGATGTTGAAGAGGAAAAGAATTGAAAATATAAAAATTACCCTTGTACAATCTATCCACTTAAAGTGAAGGCTCTCCCTCCTTACCTTTGGTACTTAAGGCAGTGAGCTTTAGCGAGCTGTGCTCTGATAGCAGTCATCCTGTGGTGTCATCTTCAGTCCCCATGTAGCTTGTTAGATGCCTTCCAGTGAAGAGAAAAGAAGCAGAGAAGGAGGCACTGAGCTGACAGGAATGGTGCCTAGAAGCCACGTTGATAAGTGACAAGGAAGTCCTGGCTTCACCTCCAGGCAGGAGCAAATATTCAAATTCGGAAACTGCTAGCAAGAAATTCACAAAGGGCCCCTTTGCTATTGTTGAGCTTGCCACCTGAGAGGGATCTGCTTCTCCCTGAGGACTTCCTGGTATTGCCAGAGCTGTGCGGGTAAGAGTCACATCTCTGACAGTGGGCTTTCCTTTCACACTATTAAACTAGCAGGACTAAAACAAATTTTCCTTGACCTCAATTTTGAATATGTTGAGTATACACCTCTGCCAATAAGTATGAAACAAGTTAGGTGGTCCAGTAAATGCACTCACTAATCGGGGAGAAGATGGTTCCGATACTTCAGGGCTTGTTCTTCAGAACAAGAAGAAAAATAATGAAGTCAATTTTTAAATGAAAGCTAAACATATGTTTAACTCAGCCTAGCTTCTGGCTCCATACTTATGAAGACATTCTGGCGATGTGTTGCTTCATAAATTTAGAAGCCCACCATAGTTTTGTGTTTCTGGAAGGTTATTTTTGTTGTGTTTTTCCCTCTCGTTCTCCTCGGTCCTGAGCATTCTGCTCCATCTAGCTTGCTGTTAATATTTCTGTGTCATTTGAGTATGGTTGAAATAAAAGTTCTGAGTGTCTGTGCACTCTCTTTAAGCCAGATAAGTTTATTATAGGACCCAGGATTCTTTTCCTAATTACCTCATTGTCAGGCCTAAAACCCAGCTCATGAAGATTAATGTGAAATAAGGCCAACTTAAGAAGAAAATTGAAAACTGTAAAGGGAAATTCACCTATTAATTCTGCCCTGATTGGTGGAAAACCTGAAAATACTGGCTTCTAGGGCTTGTCAGTCTGTCTTTCATTAGCTCATAAATAACTCATAAAAAAATTTGTCCCTCTAACAAAATTATGTCCCTCTAACAATGAGAAGGAATTCCCTTGGTGTAGCTATGCAGGCATTGTTTCATTCTATAATACTTTGAACTGGGTGAATCCAAATGTCAGGTACAGAATGTCTACATAGTACATGCATTTTAATGCCAGATACACACACACACACACACACACACACACACATCCATATATATTATTAACAACCATTTGGAGAAAGACAAGGAAAAAGAAAAGGCAGATGGAAATTGTGTGGCCTGTCTAAGGATTCTCACTATTCTGCTTGTCCTCTAATAAAGAAAACTAACCAGCATTCAATCACTAAGGAGCCAGAGTCTGGGAGATGGAAACCCAAGCTGAGTCTCCACGAAAAGCTTACATACTACTGGATAAGTTACCTGTTTGCCTGAAAGACCGAAAAGGTTATGTGTGATTGCCAGAGTTAGTTCTATAGTGAATATATTGAATAATTCTGTTCAAGGCCACATTGGCAGATGAATCTGTTTGACAGCTTGCCCTCCCTTTAAGAAAGAGGTAGCATTTATACAAGCCCTTTCTAACCACAGTATCACTAGCCATATTATTCCCAAGCATAAGAGATCAAGCACGCTAGTACCACAGCACAGAGGCAAGTCACTACATTTCATCTATACCTTTAGCTGTAGGCTACTGGCTAGATTTACAAAACACTGATAGGTTAATCTGTTGTATACATCCAGGGCTCTCATAAAAGTTAAATACTTCTTAGAACACACACACACACACACACACAAATCTATAACATAAGATCCAGAATTTCTTTAAGCCTCACTGTGTATCAGTCCAAAGACCCCACTGGGAATCGATTCACTGAGGATGCAGTGTGAAGAGACTACCTGGTGGGCGCCACTGTCCCGATTTACATAAGCTCTTCCATTTTAGCAACACCTGGAGAATCCAGTCGCTTCTGCTTCAGTGGTCTCAAGAGCCTTCCATGGTACTGAATAAGAAATTTGCTGATATTAATGCAGGGCTGGTTTCAATACAAGGCAGCGATTTTCTGTCCTGAGTTGTCTGGAGTGAAAAAAATGGGTTCATATAAATGGAAAGTAACTGAAAAATGTACCCCAGCTGGTGAGTCAAGAGAAGGGAAATTCACTGTTTTAGGTCAATGTGTTTTCAAAATAACATTTGATAGACTGGAGAGGATAAGCTTTTCAAATGAATGGCAATGAGAACATAGGTACATACAAGAGAATTTCACTTTGAAGGAAAATGGATATAGTTTCTGTATGTGGCACTGCCTCTAATATTGACCTTCATAATTTGGGTTCCTAACCAATAAATAGACAAATTCTACATTAAAAATTATTTTAAATGTCTGTGTGTTTATATTCTTCTAAATGATGCTGGTATTAACTCAAACAAATACAAAAAAAATCAGGAATCTACTTAACTACTTAACTAGAAATTGGAAATTAGACTTTGTTTTTAAAACATGTAGAAAATTTAATTTTCCACTCACCCAAGCACAATCTCCTTTCATTCATCTATTTAATCATGCAACATCTACTGAGTGTCCATTATTATAGTAACTTAACAGCATATCAGTAAATAAAGATGTTATAAATTGTGGTCCAAACTAATCCTGCATTTCTCCACTTTCCCTTCTTTGGCTTCCATGTTGACCACAGTGTGTTTCTTATTTTATCATCCAATGCATGTGGTTTAGAGATGGGCCTTGGTGTCCAACTGGCCAGGCACTATTCTGGCTTTGAGGACCTACCTGCTTTAATGATCCACTCTCAGGGAGTCAGAATAGTTAAGTAATAAAAAGACAAGTATCCAGAGTAAGAGTCCCCAGGGCTCTGTCACTGGATTCATGTTTCTTTATGGACAAGCTACTTAACATCTCTGCATCCCCATCTCTCAAAATGATCATAACACTACCTACCTCACAAGGGTGCTGTGAGGCTTACTATGAAAGCGTGAGGGAACAGTATGTAGAAATGGGGGCCTATTAAAAAGGTGCTACAGGATTTAGAGTGGCTGGACAAAGTCATTGAGTATGAACCCTTTCCTCCCTGGGAGTCCCAGGTCTGCTAGGATATGTACTCCCTTTACAACTAGAATCTAAAATGGCATTGACCATCAATTGGCCTGGTTTATCTTTAATATGACCTCCACATGACCTCTACAAGATTCATCACAAACTCCCCTCTCTCTGACAGATGCTGGCTTGGAAAAATTATTGAACTCATTTTAACAAAGGACAATAAGATATTCACTTCCAGGTGCTGGGGGTGGGGGAACAGTTATTTATTTTAATAGGAACAAGAGTTTAAATGGATATCTTCAAGGGGTTTATTGGAGAAATTTATTACATAGGGCTTTCTGTTGTTTTCAATCTGACTCCCCACCTTTCTGTGCCATTGTTTTAACATACATCCTCTTTTCCCCTTTATTGGAAGTAAAGGTATAATCCTTCTCATTTCATGATGAATCTTTTCATGCAGTCTGTTTTGCTCAAAGGACAAATTCTTTTCAACAACTATTGTAATTATTTTCTTAGAGGCCATTTTTAATTGCCATATTGTTTAGCTAAGCCCTATTGTCTTGGTGTCCTTCAAAACTGTCAGTTGCTTTAAAATACAAGGGTGGGAGGGGGAAACTGATAAGCACATTGTTGTAATTGATTTGTATGTTTGAATTGTCTTATCAGAAAACAAGGTTATGAATTTCATCTGTTGAGACACAAAAATAAAATACTTTCCTAAAAAAACTGTATTTGGTTTTTGAATGTTCTAAAACAGCATTTATTCTTCTCATCTTTTCAATGTTCCATTAACAGTGTTGCCTTGTTAATCATATAATAGAAACTTGGCCTTCTCCTATATTCATTGTCTTAGATCAGTTCTTCATTATATACACTTGGGAAACGAGTGAAATTGTTCAAGATTTATGATTGAAAGAAATCGAGAAGAGCCATTCTGAGGGATCTGCAACTCAAGGCTGATCATGGAATTACATAAAATGGATGGGTGTGAAGAAACAGGCCTGCCACTGTGTACAGTAATGTGACTTTTTCTGCCCCTCCCCCAGTGGAAGATGTCACTGCAAGTGATGAGAAATAACCAAGAGATATTATTACATTATTTCTATTAGGAAACCTTAGGAAATGAGATAAAAAAATAACTGAGTTTGATTTAAAAAAAAATCTCAGGGCCAAGATCCTGCCACACACATACACACACACCAATCACTGGTATCTAAACTAGGGCTGCCAAAACAGATTACCATAGACCTGTTATCAGGATGGTTTAAACAACAGAAATTTCTCACAGGGAAGTCCAAGACCGGGATGCCAGAAGGGGCAGTGCCTGGTGAGAGCTGCCGGCACTGCCGACAGCTGCTTCCTCCCTGTGTTCCCTTAGCCTCTCCTTGGTGCATGCAAAGCGGGGGAGGGAGAGCTCTCCTCTCTCTTATATAAGGCCAATCAGTTTTATCAGATTAAGACACCACGCTAAGACCTCACTTAACCTTAGTATCCTCCTAAAAAACCTGTCTCCAAATATAACCACATAGCAGGTTAGGGCTTCAACACATGAATTTGGTTGGGTAGGACTGGTGGGGGGAGACATAATTGAATTCACAGCAATTGGTTTCTGAGCATTAACGAAGTGCTACATCATCTTTATTTACCATGAGCATGAGAGATAGTACATAATATTCGGGAGGCAATTTAGGGAAACTCATAGAAACAAGTAAAGATGCAATGAAAGGGGCTTTCAACAACTAGCAGAAAGATCCTTCTCCTGGCTTTACTTACTTTACGCCTTAACTTTTCAAGACTCTGGCCTGGCTGTCACTAATTTTCTGAAATTACATATGACTTTTCACTCAACATCATCAAAGTCCTTAAAGAACATTTTCTGATTTCTCACAACATATCCCCAGAGTTATGATTCATCAAAAATATTAACCTCTTAAATTTCTTACTCTCTTACTCAATCCTTAGTTAACTTCTTTCTGGAATATCCATCCCTCATCTGATGCTTTCCTAAGTTTCCTAAGTAGTGCCCCCCGAGCCCTGCAGCTGCCCTGGGCTTCTCATTCACTCCCCTGGTGTTCTCTGCCATAACATCCACCCAGATGAACTCTCGTACTGCTAATGTGGATCTAATGAGAGAGGCTCTGAAAATGCAATTGTAATTTTGTATTAATTAAAAACTAAATGCTAGTACAGCCTACTCTTTGGTTGCTGCTTGTAAAAGCTTATTGACTGTCTTAAAGGGCGAAGGAGCATTTTCCTCTGAAGTTACCATGTCAAGTTCTCCTTGGACTGTGACCTACACTCCACAGCATTATTCGGAGTCACTTTTGAGGGCTGTCAGGTCCTCACTTTCCGGGTCAGCTGTACCATTTCAGTATGCAGATTGGCTCAGCCATGTAAGCCCCACGGTGGGCTATTTGTCTGCTCCCCACGGCTACTCTGACACAGAAAAGTCCATCAAAGTGTTCTTGTGTAAACAAGCACCACAGTGTTTGCTGAGACATCTGCTTGACCTGAAGTGTCCTGGTGAAGGGAATGTAGAAACCCAAACTGTCTGTCTAAAGAAGATAACTGCCCAAATTAAAACGTGCTCAAAATGCCCACAAGCTCCACTGTGGCTGTACCCACTGGGTTTCTAGGTAGCACAAAACAAGGGCACCAGGCTCGGTGTGATAAGCCAACATTTGTCCAATATTCCCATGCTAAGGTGCCCAGTAAACCAAAACTCTGTGTCAGAGGCTAGGCCGCAAGGACTTTTCCCACACTGAAAAGTTTCAGAAATTGGGGAAAAAGAGTCAGACTCCTCATGTAAAGCTATTTTACTTTCTCAAAGATTAAATTGGTGTTTGCTGAGCTAGATTCCCTCATATGAGCGAAACATCTGTCCTTTGCCTTCTGTGAGCTCTAAAGGGGTCAAGGCTGTGGTAATTTCTGAGGCTAGAACTTGGATTTCTAAGCCCTTCACCTCCTACTTGTGTACATCTGACCATTAGTCAGCTAAGGTCCTCAAACACTCCTCTTTCAAAGGTCCCAGAGAAGGCATACGACACTGAAGTGACCAGCAAAGGGTCATTTTATCTTCCTAATTATAAAAGTAATAAATATTTCTCACTGTAGAAAATTGGGTAAACACAGAGAGATTGGGAAAAATTCTTTTATATTCCTATCTGTCAAAGGCAATTACAGTTATCATTACAGTATGATTCCTATTAGCCTTCTTAAAGTAATAACATAGGTTTTAAAACAGATTTAAACGTTTTACTTCCACCACTGGGACCCCTTCCTCCTGGCTCCATCTCCTCCTCCACGTATTCCTTCTTCTCTTCATGAAACATTCCAGGGCCTCTTGAGACGGGTCAACAAAGTAGCTCCCAAAGTAGAAATGACCCGTCTACACTCTCACTAAGAGCCTCAGGAAGGGTTCTGAGAAAATCCTTTGTAGTGATCATGGTGGGAATTTTATCCTTACAAGTTCATTTTCTTAAAAATAAAAAAAAACACCTACTCAGGCCAGTCTGTATGGTCTCCTTAGAAATTTGTAGGCCCAAACTAGAGGCAGTAATGGCTGCCAATTACCAGGCACCTTGTACCTGCAACTGTACAAAACAAAGCTCATTCATCTTTCCAGAAGCCCTAGAGGTGCCCACTATCTTTCTCTTAAGGTAATTCTCATAATTTTCACCTGATGTTAATTCCAAAAACCATCTTCTTTCCACTCTGCCTGCTGCCCCTCAACTCTGAAACTTTCCTAAGTAGAACGACACCTTACAGTCATTTCACAAGGAGGCCTCTAGCATTGCTTAGATGTGCCATTCAGCGTCCAGAGCTCCCTGTGCTGTTACCGGAGAATCATTTCTTTGTAGTGCCCCCCGAGCCCTGCAGCTGCCCTGGGCTTCTCATTCACTCCCCTGTTGTTCTCTGCCATAACATCCACCCAGATGAACTCTCGTACTGCTAATGTGGATCTAATGAGAGAGGCTCTGAAAATGCAATTGTAATTTTGTATTAATTAAAAACTAAATGCTAGTACAGCCTACTCTTTGGTTGCTGCTTGTAAAAGCTTATTGACTGTCTTAAAGGGCGAAGGAGCATTTTCCTCTGAAGTTACCATCTCATGATTGCGATCACAGCCACCACAGGGGAAATGAGGCTGCTCCTCGTCACCTTCAAAACTCTCCTGCCCTCATGTTAATAAGGCGTCTTCTCATTAGCCAGTTTGGGGAATTCATTATGTAAGCCAAATACAACAAAACAATCTTGGGTTTTCCTGATGTATTTTTCCTACTGACAACAAGATTTTCCTGAAATTGAAGTAAAAGAGAAGCTGAAACTATAATGTGCTGCCTGTCGGCATAGGAAAGCCCATCTGCTTTTTACAGAAAATCTCTGTGTGTTCTGAAGAACTTCAGATTTTTACTGAAGGGAGATAAATCTTGGGGTCAGTAAAGCACAGGAGCACATTTGCCTGTTTGGGAACGCTGGATCCTGAGTAAGGCTGGCCATGTCTGCCACCCGGCAAATGAGGGAGGTAGAGACTGCTCTCTGCTCCTAGAGGTTTAGCGACGCAGGTGGACACTGTGGCTCTGACCCAAGTGTCACCACCATCCCCCCAGGAGGAGAAACTCCCTGCCACTGCCAGGAGAGAAAAGATCATGGGCAGTGGCGGCCTGCTGCTGTTGAGCAGAGCTATCTAAGATGCCACCGGAAGTTCCCCTCACTCAGGGGTAGATGAGCAGAATGGCCGAGAGGGATTCCAGCACAGAAAGCTTAGTACATTATTTAGGTTTCCAGTGAAGTGCCTGCAGGTGAGGCAGGGACGGGGCTGACTGTGCACTTTTACAGCCCTCACAGTGCAACACTGTTTATTTACGGGCCTCCTCATCTCTGTCATTCTGCCAGGACATACTTTCATTAGCCAGAGTTACCACACCTACAGTACCCTTCCCGAATTCCTTGTATTTTCAAGTGTTTCTGTTGGTGTGTGGAGAGACCAAGAGAACAGGCTGCACCCTTGGGTGCTCTCAGCAAGAGTGGAAGCAGTGGGCTGGTATCTGGCTTCTCTGAAAGCCTTTCGCTTGAATATTCACAGAGTGCCTGTTGGGCACCAGCTCGTGGGCGAGGCTCTGGGATCCTGCCCCAAACAAGATGCCTGGGATCAGGGCCTGTTCTTCAGCTCCTGCTCTGGCTGGAAGTCCTTCAGCAGGTTGTCTTTTCTTCCTGCCTCTGTCCACCTTGGGAAGTGGAAAGTGGTGTAGGTTTATCATGGGAGGCTGGGCCAGGCCCACGGCCCACGGACACAGTGAGAAGACTTCAGACAAAAACTACTGCGGCCAAAGCTTCAATTTTGCTATCAAGGGGCAGCTCTCCTGGGAATTAAAGCTTCTTAGAGTGGACTGTCCAAAATGAAAAGATATTTGCCATCTTAGAAATATCCTCATGAAGACAGTGGAGCACAGAGGAGGCAAATAGTGACTCTGTGGCATCTTACTATACTGTTGGGCAGTGACTGCAGTGGGGTGTGGGAGGGGACACAATAACATGGGTGAATGTAGTAACCACATTGTTTTTTCATGTGAAACCTTCCTAAGAGTGTATATCAACAGTACCTTAATATAAATAAATGAACGAATGAATGAATGAAAGAAAGAAAAAAAGAAATATCTTCATGAAA